AGTACTACAAATATGGTTTCCAGGACAGCAACGTCAGCCTTTCCTGGAAACCTGTAGAAATGCACAATCCCGAGCAGCTCTAATCCACTGAATCAAAACAGGGATGGGCCCCAGTATCTGTATTTTACAAAAATCCTTGGCAAAGTTTAAGAATTTTGGGGTTTCCCTGGTGCTGTAGGGATTAAGTATCAGCACTACCATTCTATTACTGCTATCGCATGGGTTCAATCCTGGCTAGGAAACTAATCCACAGCACAACAGACCTCTCCTGTCTTGCCTACTGCTCCCCTCAGCAGTGTATTTCAGTAGATAACCCGGTTCTGCTCCCATTCTTCTCTGGTGAATCCTCTCACTCCCTGCACCTCTGGCCTATACCCCAGCTCTTAGATGCATAAATAAATAACATTTTTTTTTTAAAAAAAGGAAATAATTACTTGTTCATGCCATAGTCTGCTAGTCAAGAGTTATCCTGCCATCAAAGATACAGATGCTGCTGAATCTCAACTTCAGAGTAAAACATACTGCTCCATACACTGACTCCTTTGGGTAAATAAAATAAATAGTCATCTACACTCTAGAAGAGGTGTGATGTGTGTGTATACATGAGTAAATGTGGATGGTGGGGGAAGGAGGAGAGGTTTATGGTCAGAAATGGTCAACAGTTGGTGAGAAACAGAAATAAAATGGAGATGGTGTCTGGAAAGGCTCTGCTGTTCTTACAATTGTATGATTTTTGTTTTTCCTGCCACTGGCTGTTGGTTTCCCACTCGAGGCAGTGTATTGCAGAGAAGGGAAACAAAGACTTCTTGGGGGTGTGCTCGTTTCTATTCTTCTGGAAAAGAAACTGGACTAATCTGTCAGTTTTCAAACTAGGAAACCTTGGTGCATCTTTGAAAGGCAGACAAAATAATCATCCCTCCTGCTTGCAACACGGCATCCCAAAGCAGGTTTAATTATGTGTTTTAGAAGGAAAATGTAGCCAAAGTAAAGCCTAGTCATTAACAAGGAGAATCTGAGGGAACTCTGCTGGGGAATGCTCCCCAAACAAAGATCTGGGATATAAATCTGTTCTTTGGAGAAAGCCTTAATTTCCATTAAATTGACCAATTTACACCACAGGACCACACTACATTTCTAAAGCTGTTTTGATTGACAACACAGATGAGCAATTACCAGGCCCTGCCCACCATTCTTTATCCAAAGAGAATTTTATAAAGCATGCTCTCCTGAACTCCTTCGGAGACCTGAAGTTCATCTGAATCCCACCTTCATAAAATTGCCCACGTGTGAATGATTCTCAGGTGACACAAGCTATGCAACGGCTATCGTCCGACAGATTCCGGATAGCTCGGGAAAAGCTCTGAAATATCAGAATTTCCACTGCTAACTTATGTTATGACCTCCCTTTTTTTGTATAATCATAATATCAAAAAAATATTGTTACAACATCAGTTTGTAACTGGCTTGCCTTAGCTCTAAATTGGCTACCTGGCCTGGGCAAAGTACAAGCTGAGCTGCTCCTGGGCAGGAAATTCCTTTGACTGAAGACAAAAGGCAAGCTCCTGGAGAGATAAGACCCCGGAGCATCAAGACTCCTGGAAAACTTCTTTGGTCTTTTGACAAAAAGCGATTCTTAAGATAACTCTCAGGGCATAAGAACCCATGGACAATTTCCTAACATTATCAACACAGGTTTTGCTTAATGCACAACTATGTAACTTCTTAATTTACTCTTTTCCTAAAACTATCACTAACTACTCTCTGCTAGTCTTATTTAACCTCTTCCTAAACAAACACTAGCTACTCCCTGCTAACCTTAAGTTAGCCATTAGCTTCTCTTTAGGCTATCACTGACGACTCTGCTAACACAATTTATCCCTTCCCTAGAACTCCTAAATCCTTTGCTAACAGCTCATCCTTTCCCAGACCCTGATCCTTTAAAGTCATCCGTATACATGAAAGTTATCACAAAGATGTATAGTATAGTGTGCCATAAAGTAGAAGGAAGAGGATGCATTGTTCTCCTCTTCCTTTAAAACTTTTATGTCGGTTTCTTATTAACTTACCTAAGGCATTATTGTAACTAAATCTTGCTAAACAGTATAAATAAAGACCTGCAAAAAGATGAGCAGGAAGATTTGCACCCAACTCCGACTCCCGTGTCTTCCTCACTCCCTCTCCCCTTTTTGGAATCTCTGCACGCCCACGCCTTCCCATCTTAGGGTCCTGCCTTTTCTGCCTCCAGACACCTCAAAAGTTGGAGCTGGTCTCCGACACTCAGGCCTCAAAAATGAATCTGGATTTACTAAATGCGATTTGCAGTTCTCCGATATCATTTGGTCCTATCTTATCATGATTCCAATTGTAAAATTTTCTTCCTCGGCCCTCCCTGGTGGCGCAGTGGGTTAAAGCACAGCACTGAGAATCTAAAGCCGCTTCCGCATGAGTTCGATTCCCGCCTGCCCCGGAGGTGACCACAAGGCGTGGCAGACCTCTCCTGGCCCGCCCGCTGCTCCCCTCAGCAGTGTACTTCGTCGATCTGCCTGTTCTGTTCCCCACTCTGTCTCTGGTGAAGCCTCTCGCCGCCCCTGAGCCTCTGGCCTGTACCCCAGTTCTGTATGCACAAATAAATAAATCTTTAAAAAAAAAATTTTCTTCCTCTATTCTAGAACTCAGGCAGTGATCCAAAAAGGCACATGTGGGCTATAAAATGGAGGCTGACCTGCCCTCTTCAAAACGTGTAACCTCTGGAGTCTCCAGGGATGGAAAATGGGCTCTGTGAACTTTTCTTAAGATACTCTGATCCAAACAATAATGAAATTTCTTAAATTTAATTTTTCTGTTGATGGGTTCAAACGTTAAACAATTAAATAGATCAAAAATTCTGCATTCATATTTACCACTGCATTTTGGGGTAAGAATGGAATAACAGCAGTAAGATATTGCATGCTGGGGAGAGGGGGGAGAAGGGTTTGTGTCGTGACCATTATTATTCTTTCCATTGTTGTGAGGTGACCTGACCCTCAAGTGACCCAGCAGGCTCACAGGAAAGGGTATTCTCTTCAACCAAAAATGACCCGCCCACTGCTCCCCCTTAGCAGTGTATTTCAGTGGATCTGCCTATTCCGCTCCCTGCTCTGTCTCTGGTGAATCCTCTCATCCGACAGCACCCTCCAAACCCCACCCTAGTCTGTGCCCTAGTTCTTGTGTGTAGAAATAAATAAATCTGGAATGTGGCATATATATATATATACATATATATATATTTTTTTTTTTTAAACAAAGATGACTAACATTGACACCCAATGTGTACTAAGTATCATTTAACCTTCTGGTAATCACCCTAAATATCACAGTCATATGAGTTAAATGTCTATGCTTTGCATATGAGGAGATGCCTTTAACAGAGATCTTTGGCAATGGAACCTTAGGGGGCAGGGTTCCCTCTTGTGCTGCTGCTGTGTGGACTTGCACAGAGCCAGAGGGGAGCTTAGCAGGGGCAGCCAGCAGGAAATGGAGAAACTTCAAGCCAGGGTAAATGATTTAAAATAAGCGGGAGAGCAGCAGTGCCTGACTCCAGCCCGCATTGCAGAGCGCAGTGGCCCTTGTGTGGCATCTGATACACGCTGACTCTGAGAATGGCATTTTCTGTCGATACTCCTTCCCAGGAGAGATAAGAAACAGTAAGTAACCTGGGTTTCCAGGCTTTATTTTCCATCAGCTGGTGCAATAATGCAGGCCCAGATGACATCACGATGATGTCAAAGGCCACCCTGAACCTGCTGAAGGTTGGATGGGAACTTTTGCCCTGGGTCCTGGCCCAAGGAAAGGGTACCACCAAAGCCTTGGAGCCCCCATTTGACACAGATTAGATCAAGCCCCACAGAAACACAACCTGGGAGTGGCCTGCAGAGCGGAGCCCTCAGTCTGGGTCATCTCAACACCTCAGTGTTTCACATCATTTCCATCATGACTTCACCACCCTTAAAGCTGTGAACCACAGTTTATGGATTTGTACTAGTAGGTGGCTTGTTATTTTTAATTGACTATAAGAATGACACAGAGGGCGCTTTGTTTCAAAAACAGTACAAAGCAAGCAAAGATTTCACTTGCCCCAATGGGCAGACGCTGTTCCCCAGCGCCCGGTTAACAGGGAGTACAGGTGCAGCCCATAGCAAATGGTTTTCCCTGTTGGAGGTGCTGAGTCCTTCCGATGTCACTTCAAACATCCCTGACAACTCAGCCAGGCTCCCAGGGCGGCCAGACCTGCACTTCACCAGTTACCTCATGCCCCCGGCATTCTCAGCAGAGGCCAGGCTGACCTCACAGGCAGCTGCCAGCAGCTTTATGTTTATGTGCCTGCCAAGACTCCCGTCCACAGCTGGAACCAATCATTCATTCAGCAAAATGTGCTAAGCCATTACTATGTGCCAGGCAGGGGCCCAGATGCCGCCAGGATCACCAGTCACTTACGGCCAGGGGATGCCTTCCTGCCTCTCACCACTTCCTACCCTGTGGCCTTTGGGCTCAGACAACTGGGTTATCACTTGGACCATCATTTGCAAGCTGTGTGATTATGGATGAGTCCTTCACTTTCTGGAACTTTAGTACCTCTGAGTGTAAGGAATGTAATGGTGTAAAACCATATAAAATTATGTCATATATAAATTATTTAGCCCAAAACCTAGAATATAGTATAAAGAACATGGTCTCTCAGGAGAGGCGCTGTGACACATTGTGAGGCTTGCTGCGCACCATAAGGCATTGAGCAGCACCCTGGCCTTGACCATGTGACACAGGTGGCATCTTAAGTTGTGACAACCGAAAATGTTTGCAGACATTACTGAACGATTCCTAGGGGGGAACAAGAGAACCTTCAGCTGTTATTATCTTCAGTAACTCAGAAACAGCATACTTCAGCTAGCCCATTGAAAATACAAGTTCAACTTACAGGGACGTAGGGCATGTGAGATCCAGAAAAGTCAAAGGACTGCGCTTACCCTTACAATGATCCGTTCAGAGATGTGGGCAGATAACAAATAGAACTGGTCCTGGCTCGCAGCATACAATCCAACCACCAACATGAAGTATCTAATTCAGAAACAGCGAACCAATGTCAGCGCATCAGGCAATAGAGAGATGACGTGTGTAATCAAATACCACCCAGCGGATAATCATTAGTGAATCTACCTAGCCATGTTTGCATATGTAAAGAATTTCTCTTCTATTTTAAGTCGTCCCTTTGACAAATAAGAGCACAGTTGATTAACCCATTTTTGTGTGGGGTCTACCCTTTGCCCTGTGTCAGGTACCTGGGAGCTGCATTGCTGGGCCCTCGGCTCAGCATGGAGCACAAACATCCGCACCACTGAAGTTGTCCAGAGCCACTGCAGCCACATCCTGCGCTCTGGTGGAGGGAGCCTAACAGGCTTGCCCAACCTTGCTGGGTCCTTCCCACCTTGGTGCTCTGTACCTTCTTCCACAGCTTTAGTCAAAGACCTGCACCCTCCCCTCCAACTGCTTCCACAGCAATTTTCTTCACTGTTATCTTGGCTGCCTTTTCACTGTGCCATTGAGGAGACCTTTAAGGTCAGACCATTTCTTGAGAGTAAAATAAAAACCACCCCCATGTGATTCACTAAGAACCACATGAATAAATGACACCAGCTTCTTCTGCAACACTGTACAAAGTCTTTAATCCCTGAGAACAGCCTTCTCCTCTATCTGAAGTGCAGCAGTAGTAGTAATTGTTATTATTATAAAATAACTACCACATATCATTACTGGATGAAGCTATCAACATTATTTCATTTCGTTTCCCTAAGCAACCCTAGTGAAGTAAGATATTGCTATTGCCCCTTTTGTAGATAGAAAATTGAGTGTGGGATGTGCACTACCCAAGCTCGCCCAACTACACAGTCAAATGCATTCTGTCCAATTCCCAGGCCTATGTTCTAAGCCAATGGTTCTCCTATTTGAGCTCATTTCAGAATCACCTGGTGACTGTTACCAGGCTGTTAAAATGCAAATCGCTGGGCCCCACTGCCAGAGTGTTGGATGCTTTAGGTATTCCCCAGCCCCAAGAACATGCATTTCTAGTAAGTGATCAGAAGATGCCACCACTATATGAACCACTAATCTACACATTATGAACCCCTGAGATAGCAGAGCTCAGGACCTCTGATTATACTGGGAAGCACCACACAGGTTTGAGAAATGCAGCCACTCCTCAGCCCTCAGATGCAATGAACTTGTAATTGCTGTAGAGAACCCTGGCTTTGGGAGGGGTCCAGGCCAGCATATTTGGAGTTGGGCAGGAAAGGAGCGATTTCAAGGAGTGAGAATGGAAGAAGAAAAATATCCACAGATAAATATGTCAATAAACTCAAAATGTCCTGTCAGGCCAGGCTGTACAGCGCCTGAGGGAGGCCCAGTTTGTCTGCTGGTGTGGACTAGAGGAGGGAGAAGGCCCCTGGGGGCAAGTGCTCAGTCAGATGAAGGACCCAGTACCGTGAGCAGCCAGTACCTCTGGTCAGGATTTGGTCTTCCCTTCTTTCTCATGTTATTTGCTGTGGTCTCACTGAAGTGTAACCGGCCCAGCGTTACTTTGGTGACCTGGTCCGCCCGCAGGTCAATTCTAAAACAAACAACAGAAAAACCAAGAGACTGTCAGAGAAAAAAAGAGTCCTTGATGATTCTTAGATGCTCAAGTATGCACAATGCTCAGTTCTCGCCATGGTGTGGAGGACAGTTCATTCCAGTCACTGATCACTAATAAAGTCTCCATAGCACAGTGAGAACTGACCATCAAGGAAGGCCATGGCATAATTCCTGAATGGTATGAAATGCTCATTTAGCAGAAAATCAAGCCCAGAGTTTCTGACTCATGAGGGCCATATGCTCCCTACAGTATCTATGGATTCTTTTATGTCCACAACAGGGAGAAAGGACAAATTTCATGGCGTGCTCTGCCTCTGTGGCTATTGCTTCCTGACTGAAGTCATTTCTCAAGGTTCCCGAAGAACCCTTCACAGCTCCTTCATGGATTCGCCCTTTCTTGGTCTGGCTGTGTGCGTCAGTGGGAACCTCAGGAAGACCACACATCACCTGCCTGGATGATGGAGAACAGATGCACCAGGGCAGTTCAGTGCTATGTTTGTGCATGTGGCTTCTGCACACAGTTTTGTACAGAGGCTCATGTTGAGCTCCTGTCTGAACAGTCCTACTTGTAAAACTGTCTGCTGCCCAGACCAGTGCTATGGACTTAGGGTAAAAACACCGGGATATATCCATTATCTCTCAGTCAAATCAGTTATAATGTCCATTCCCATTCCATGTCCTACTACAGGTATATGTCCACTAGGGTCACCATTTTCTCCTGGGCAATCCTAATCCTGTATGCTGTCTAATTTGAAACCCATTAGGCAATTTATTAGTATTATTTTAGAAAATAAAAATGAACTGCAAACAGGCCCTCCCTGGTGGCGCAGCAGGTTAAAGAACGGCACTAAGGAGTTAAAGCCACTTCAGCATGACTTCGATCCCTGCCTCAGAGGTGACCCACATGGCAAGGCAGACCTCTCCTGACCCGCCTGCTGCGCAGTGTACTTTGTCAGTCGGCCTGTTCTGCTCCCCACTCTGTCTCTGGTGAATCCTCTCACCGCCCCTGCACCTCTGGCCTGTACCCAGTTCTGTATGCATAAGTAAATAAATATTTTTTTTTAATGAACTGCAAGCAAGCCTGATTCCAGAACTCTAAATTTAATCCAATGAGCACTGTGCCAGTTTAAGTGAAAATAGAGAAAGATCTAGCCATGATCATACTCAAGGAACCAACATTTTTAATAAGGTTGTCACTAAAAAATCTTTATAAAAATGCTTTAAAAGTAAAGCTTTTATAAGGAATTTTCTGCAATTACTTCAATGTATTTTCTCAATTTTACTACTGTTGATCAGTTTGTGTTCATAACACTAAGATACTAGTGTCCACATTGGGCTTCATTTTAAATAATCAAAATAAATTGGGCAAAATACCTTTTCCCCCAAAACATTCACAAAGGAATTCAGAAAAGAAATTCTTACCTAACCGGATTGAAAATCTTTTTGCTTCTGTCTGCTTGGGACTGTTCGATAGCAATTATTTGATTACTGGCTTCTAACTGTTTAGAACAATAAATAGTAAATGAATCAGTCAACAATTCAATTCAATTATTTTTTAAAATGTGTACTAATAAGTAATATCCAAGCACTTAAAAAAGTTCCAAGACATCAAGCTAGCCACTGGGCAGGAGCAAATCAACTTAACACACAGTAGGACAATGGCCCCCACTTTAAAGCAGTGTGCTATTGGTCAGAAAAGAACAAATACTTGTAAAATTAAACAATGAGGGCCCTCCCTGGTGGCACAGCAGCTTATAGCACAGCACTAAGAAGCTAAAGCCACTTCAACATCAGTTCGATCCCCACCGCAGAGGTGATCACATGGCGCGGCAGACCTCTCCTGACCTGCCCACTGCTCCCCTCAGCAGTGTACTTCCTCAGTTGGCCGGTTCTACTCCCCACTCTGTCTCTGGTGAATCCTCCCACTGCCCCTGCACCTCTGGCCTACACCCCAGTTCTGTATGCATAAATAAATATTTTTTTTAAAAAAATTAAACAATGAAAACACAAGACACCAGAGTATTTCAGATAAGCAGGGATTTAGTGGGCAAAGTGGGATTGAAACCTAGGAGCAGGGCAGCTCAAAGAATATGTGCTCCCTTCATTCACTCTTTTGTTCACTCACTCTGCAAATACTTGCATTGCTCTAGGCATGAGAGAGGAGAAGTGGACAGAGTTAACAGAAATCTCTGCCATTGGAGATCTTATGTTTCTAAGACACTAAAACAGGAAATGACATTCACGCAGTGCTTGCAACAAACTCTAAGGTAGCAGTGAATAATGCAAGGCAGGTGAAAACTTTTCTGTCTTAGAAGGCCCGTGAGTATTCACATAGCAGCAACATTTCTGGAAAACAACTGCGCAATCTATCAATATATCAAGAGCCTCAACAATGTTCATATCTTTCATGTGAAAATTCCTTTTCTGGAAAGTATCCTTAAGTAAAGATGGGTATGCCTGAATGTTCACTGCAGTTTTATCAATAATAAGACATTAAACAAAATTTATAATAAAACAGGAATTAATATGATACATCCATACAGTGGAAAGCTACATTACCTGTGTCAGTATTTTCACAAAATCTTAAATATCAAGAAATGTTATTTTCACAATACATTAACCACAAGAGATTAATTTTAATAATGGAAATATTGGATTTCCAATGGTGAATTCCACTTATTCATAGTTTTCTTTCATGCTCCCAAATTTTCACCATGGGTTGATATTACATCCATAATCACAAATATGTTTTACTGTTTATTTGTCTGTTGTTTGTCTTTTGGTTTGGTTGGAATAAGAGCAGCTAATGCAAGATTGAAGTTCCATTTGGGGAGATTCAGTAACTCAGCCCAGATTAAAGATCACAATAAAATATACAGAACATGGATGCTCTCCCCTTGAAGAATGGGACTGAGGCAACAATTTAACAAACACTTGCTGACCATCTAGAAGTCATCCGAGTGGCATTCTGAACCCAGCTTTACCGCTTACTATCTTGATGAACTGTGTGGCATCACTGGATCTCTCTGTAAACTGGATAAGAAGGGACATTAACTAGTGGTTCCTTTGCTTTTTCAATTCTTTTGAAAATTTGAAAATGCACTAATGCCAAAAAGAATTAAGAACACATTTAGTAAAAGGAATATAAGGCTTATGCACTTAAAGACCACACAACTGAGGTTTGAAGTGGTGGCGTACCCTTATCTGAACTCAGCCCTAAGAAATTGGAAGTTAGTCCCTGTGTCTTAGAACATGAAGTCTTCAAACCCATTCACCATGCTATGAAGAAACACAAGCTATTGCATAGAAAGGTTCACACAGAGAAGAGTCAAGGGCTCCCAGCTACAGTGCCTTAAAGATCCTGATGGATGGCCAATACAAAATTGACAATTGTGGGAATGGGCCAGCCTGGAAACTGGATCCAGGTTCAGTTGAGTTTTGCAGCAAGGACTCCTGAGCAGAGACAAGTTTCAGTGCCAGGCCCTGACAAAGCAGCACATCAGTGACCCAAATAAATAATTAATATTAATTTAAGTTGCTAACTTTTGGGCTAGTTTGTTGTGCAGTAATAGGGAATTGGAACACAGTAAGTACTGGGTGAATTAAATAAAAGAACTTACCTTAACCCCAAAGGCTTTCAAGTAAAATATTTCTATTGGTTTTAAGCCCCCTTGAGTTTTGACAAATTTTGGATTTCCCCAAACTTGGATATGGATGGTTATCTGAAAATGGTTCTTCTTTTGGCAAACAAAAGCTTCATCTGCTGGTGAAAAAGTAAATCCTTTGTCTGTGACAACTTGATAGCCTACATCAGGTCTATAAAAAGAAAAATCAAGGAACCAGTTTTGCCAATAGTTTCTTTTGTTAACAATGATAATATGTAAATATTTCAAGAGAATAGATTGTGCAAAGTGCCTCTTACTAAAATTTAATCAATGATTTCCATGTATGTTTACTGAAAAAAATGTAAATAATGTTTCAAAACACAGCTGGCTCTCAGAATTTTTATCTTTTCAAAAGGAAGATATTCAATTTTTGCCTAATAGAAGCATTGTTTCCTCAGTCTGCCTTATGTTTTCTGGTTTGTGCTTCTAATTTGATTCTACAATATAATAGAAAGAAATAGGCTACAAGCAAAAAAGTCACATGTCGCAGAGTTGTGAAATGTACAAGATACAGTTCCTCTCTTTCCTCCTTTAAGAAAAGGATTTATTGTGATGGACACATGAAATTATATAATGTTACAATGTGGTATTATTTCAATAAGAGGTTTAAAGTTAAAATTAAAAAAAAATAAATAAATAATCCACAAAGAAGTCTCTCAATCTTATCAGCAATGCCACATGCTAGCAGTCAGGTGGTTGAATATTCAGTCAACTGCTGATTATGTGAAAAAAGAGGAAACTGGTCAGAATTAGCAGAAATAGTTTTAAATTGGGTCAATCAAAGCCAGTGAGTCTACAAATTGAAAACCTACTTTCACCAGAGTACAGTCATTTCCTTGTTATGTTCTCACTGGGATATCGCACCGTAATCTACATTGCTGGTTACTTCTGCTGAAAGGAATGATGTGGGGGGTGGGGGGGTGTGACTAATCAGACTTCTGCCTGATTTGATAAATCATTTTCAACAGCAATGCTGTATATGCTTAATGAAATATTAAAGGCTAATAAAAGCAAAACATGAAACAGGCATACAATCAAGTAAAGAGAATATGAAAGTTGAAAACTTCTCAAGTAAGTCTGAAAAGATGGAACTTGAATTTTACTCATCTTCTTTACAGGATCACAAATGGAAAAAAACGAGTACTTAACTGCTAGGCCAGCTTCCCCTCATTTGTGGATCTTCACATCCTGGGACCTCAAGTTAGATGACTGCCATTGAATAGACAACATAATGTTTCTAAATTTTCCTCTAATTCTACAGACAGAAAATACTAATGGGCCTCTGGAAAAATAGTTTCCATGTTCTTTGCAAGTTAAGCATCTGACCCATGGATCAAGTCACAGGGCTATTGATTACCCTCAAGTAGCCTATCAGTCAAAGTCTCTACACTCACTTTGCCCACCAACAGCAACAGGAAAATCCATTGAATGAAGGATTTAATAAGACCATCAATCTTACGGTATCTGGAAACTTTATATTGACTCCAGTTTCTAGAACTAATCTGCTAATTTGCTCATCTAAAGGTTGGATGGATTGAATTGTATAGATTTTACTGCAGAGGGTAATAAGAGCTGTCTTGGTTGAGAAGAAAGGAAGTGTCTTTTGTGATATTCTATGTTTCACTGTCAAAAACTCTGAAGGAAGAAAGTAAGATTTACAGTTCAGCTATGAGCCTTAACTTGAAATTTCAGGACTACTATAAACAGAAACTGAACACCAGTCTCTAGTTACAGAAATCTATTTATCTAAGAAGAGCCATTCTGTTTTGATATCTAAAGTTAAATATAAAATCAACTAAACTGACTTTTTAAAGGCTCCGTTTAACATAGTATTTAAATATCACTCAGAAAAAAAAAAGATTTGATAAATCCTCAATGTTCTAACTTTATTGCTTTAAGTAATTTAGGAAAATTATTTGTAGCAACTTAGATATAATAATCTAAGAAGAGATGAGTGATTTTCTGTCTCAATGAATAGTGAAACCAAGATGGCCTGAAGTCTAACCCTGATAAATATTGCCTTCCTTTTTTCTTATAAAAAGTGAATTGCAGCTAAGCATTCAAAATAAATCTTACTCTATACCTTTGGGTTCATTCCATTCTTGTACTTTTTTTCCAGATCAGTGGAGCATAGATAGGCTGCTCAAATAAACTTAAAAAAAAAAAATACTTACTCAAATAGGAAGAGCAATAGCAGTTACCTTGAAAATGTTATCAACTCAACTGCACAGGGCTGGGAAGCATTAAAGTCTTTAATTAAGATACTGTGCACATGTGTGACAATTTCACACCTCAATACTGATGTTTAAGATTGAATATGGAACACTGCCCAAAAGATAACCAAATTAAGGCTAAAACTCAAAATAAGACCAGTGGGCCCATAATTTCTTTTTCTAATTGCACATAGTGGCAAAGACAGAGGTTGTGAGACGTCAATAAAACAATTAGCAGTTCATGTTTTTCTGCCTCTTATGAAACACACCAACTCCCAAAGTCAGTTTTAACTCCCCAGATTTGTGTCTGAAGGAAAAAACTTCCTCCTTCTAGATCACCCAATATAAAAGTACTAGTGATAAGTTTTGCACTTAAAGAAGCTACATTTGAATTTGGAAAATACCATGAAGACCCTCAAGTTTATAGCTCATGTTTCTGATTTCATATTGTATTTATTTCTTGACAGTCCTACTCTTTAACTATTAACACATTTTAGTACTTCAAGAAAACATTTAAAAAACTGAAAATTGTACACTTATGTTAAGTAAATTATTCCTAAGGAATAAAGAGAAGTCTTAAAGGATAGTTCAAAGCAATAATGCATAAGTTCACATTTATTCCTTCCAACTATCATATTAAAAGCAGAAGATAAAACTTCTCAATTTAATGATATTTTATAGATTTGACCTTAGTCTCTAATACAAAACCACCATTAATTATGATGGCTGTACAACAGTGACAGTGAACTTAGCAATACCGATTCAAGGCATAGAGATTGGAAGGGGTGGTGCTAGTGGCTAACAATTTAAATGTCCCCAAAATTATTTCATGAATACATAAATTAACATCAGGGTTAAATGTTAATGACTTAGGAAATCTCCTCTTGCCACGTTTAGTTTAAATTGGACATGTGAGCACTCCTGGTGGTGCAGCAGGTTAAAGCACAGCACTGAAGCTGGCCACAGCCGCTTCAGCACAAGTTCAACCCCAGCCCCAGAGGTGACCCACATGGCGTGGCAGACCTCTCCTGACCCGCCCACTGCTCCCCTCAGCAGTGTACTTCATCGATCTGCCTGTTCTGCTCCCCACTCTGTCTCTGGTGAATCCTCTCACGGCCCCTGCATCTCTGGTCTGTACCCCAGTTCTGTATGCATAAATAAATAAATCTTAAAAAATAAACAAATAAATTGGTCATGTGATCTCAGAAACCGTCCTTGTCCCTCCATCATTTAGTGGGTAATTATAATATGAAAGAATTACAAATTTGGATTCTTAGAGGCTGGAAACTCGTACCCCAACTATTCTCTTTTTTCAGACAGTTTTTTTTAACATTTACTTATTTATGCATACACAACTGGGGTACAGGCCAGAGGTGCAGGGGAGGTGAGAGGCTTCACCAGAAGCAGAGTGGGGAGCACAACAGACAGATCCACAAGGTACACTGATGAGGGGAGCAGCGGTCGAGACAGGAGAGGTCTGCCACACCATGTGGGTCACCTCCCAGTGTAGGGGTTTGAACTTGCACTGAGGGGCTTGAACTTGCACTGCAGCTAGCTTGCAGTGCTGCGTTTTAACCCACTGCGCCACCAGGGAGGGTTCCCCCAACTATTCAGTCAGGATGCCAAAAATGAAGAGGAAGACAAACCCTTTCTCAGTGTCTCCTCCTACTGGATCAGGGATGGCATCTAAACCCACCAGGCACGGATTTTGTTCTGAGATTCAGCACGGCTTTCTGCCCTTGCTTTCTAGCCACCAAAGAGCAGTCTAAAGCCACTTACAATTTTTCATAATTTGCATTTAGTAAACTGTGCCATGGGGCACTCTGGTACGGTTGCCATCTCAGAAGAGGAGAGCACCGGTCTTCAGGTATCACGTTCTGTCTCTCACTGTCATGGTCTTTCTCTTCAAGGCTGTGATTCCTACTTGTCACTGCAAAGAAACAGGTGTGTTAGTCCTTCCTCCAAGGCTGTTTCCCACACTCCCACGCAGACTCTTTGGGCGAATGCCACAAACGCATAAGTGGCTCTGTGGGCAGAGTGAGCATCGGGATGTAGCATGGGTGAGGTCAGCTGGGTTTCCTCACCTGCAGAGAACAGGTTGGGATCAGTGGTCTTTGGGATTCAATAGTGGGCACTTGCTGGAAACTTTGCCTTGGGGATCTACCTTACTTTCTCCATAGCATCACCTCACTTTCAGACTGCATGATTCCAATAGAGTCTCCTCCCAGGCCCAGAAATGTAGGGGGCCCCGATTCAAATCAAAGTACAGCAGATCTTCAAATACCACCACGTCCTGCAACAGCGTCTCCTTATGACACTGATGAGTGAAAAATGTTGCCAAAACAGAACAAGATGACATCATTTGAGGATCTGACATTATACAAGGATCTGCTTTAGCTCAAGGTAGCAGTTTCCAGGAACGTACTGGCATTAAGGAGGGCTGACGGCACAGCGTTCCCGTGCATCATCAGTAGCTGCATCAGAGGGACACAAGGTCCACCCAGTCCAAGAGGAGTGGCCCCCAGAGTGCATGGCGAAGATGCTGACTCCTTTCCATGGGGCTTGAACCTGCAAGATGCATCCCTAAGAGCAAGAGCAGCTGGCACCCTATTGGGACATGAGGGAAAGCCTGTCTGGGAATGAAGCCAGCGCAGCAGAAGGCAGCATGAGGCGAAGGGTTCCTGCTTCTGACGGGTGATGTGAGTTCCGGGACCCAGTCCTAAGCTCTTGGGTCACAGGAGCCAACAAATCCCCTCGTTTTGTTTGTTTACTGCCTGCTCGTGGCAGTTTGAGGTTTGCTTGTTTGCTTCTTTGTTGTTGTTAATTACAACAATACATTTTAATTTGTTACAGTTCCCTGGTGGCACCAAGATTGTGCTGTCCAACTAGCTTTTGACCTTAGATATTTATTCACTTAGTGCACTTAGTGTCTTTTTTTTTTAAAGATTTATTTGTGCATACAGAACTGGGGTACAGGCCAGAGGCTCAGGGGCAGCGAGAGATAGAGACAGAGACAGAGTGGGGAGCAGAACAGGCAGATCGACAAAGTACACTGCTGAGGGGAGCAGCGGGAGGGTCAGTGGAGGTCTGTCATGCCATGTGGTCACCTCCGGGGCAGGCGGGAATCGAACTCATGCAAAGTGGCTTTGGCTTCTTAGTGCTGTGGTTTAGCCCACTGCGCCATCAGGGAGGGTCTCACTTAGTGTCTTAACTGCAAAACAGAAATTAGAACACACACCCTGTCCATCTTGGAACATTACACAGAGAATATAACAACAGAATGGAAATTCAGAAGCTAAAGCAAAATATCATATTGCTGTATGTATTAACTAGGTGAAATTACTACTTTCAATGTTAAAAATGGTCAAAAATAATTTCACATGGGTAACCTACTTTTTTCCATGGCTCTTGCAAGTTGTCTAATTTAAATATGCCTCCGAACTTTATGATTCAACCAGATAATTTTTTATGCAGATTCTATCTGTATGTCTGTTGTTTCACTTTTCTCCCTGACATGGGAAGTGAGAGGGAAATACTGGGTGAGTAAGGACAGTTACAGGTTGTAAATAAGGCAGAAATCTGACCCTAACTCTTGCAAAGTGTGCCTTCAGCCCACGGGTTTTCTTTCACTCATAGGACTTCCTTTCTTTAAGCTTCCATTGAAAATTTCCTAAACTAAGTAGCGAAGATGCTTTGAGTTGCTTTTGATCCTAAATGTCATACAAAAGGTGTTTTTCCTAGGTACAGATCTTGCCTTCCACAATTCTCTGCTTAGACCAAATTCAGAGGAGACAGAAACTAGTTCTTTCACCGCTCTGTCTCTCCCTCAATGGAGAGAGAATAAAGGAAAGTTAAGATCTTGGAGTTCAGAGTCAAACAGACGTGGGTTTGAATGATACATTAAGGGAAATGGTTTAACATCTTTGAGATTCAGTTTCCTCATCTGCAACCTGGGATCGACACAACACTCCCTGAAGTTCAGTGAATAATGTCTCTAAGTGCTTCACGCTGTGTTAGCCACCGGGGCCTGGTCACCATCACATTTTGCTTGTTTCAGCTTAGGTGTCTCAGTTAGTCCTTAGAAACTATGTAAAATACTTTTGTTCTTGGCCCTCCCTGGTGGAGCAATGGATTAGGACGCAGCACTGCAAGCTAGCCACAGTCACTTCAGTGCGAGTTCGATCCCCGCCCTGGAGATGACCCACATGGCACAGCAGACCTTTCCTGTCTCACCTGCTGCTCTGCTCAGCAGCGTACTTCATGGATCTTCCTGTTCTGCTCCCCACTCTGTATGGTAAAGCCTGTACCTCTGGCCTGTACCCCAGTTCTGTATGCATACATAAATAAATCTCTTTAAAAATACTTTTCTTCTGATGATGGGACACCCAAGGGGATTGCAACTGAGTTGGAAAAATGCACAAAAATATGTAAAAATAAACTAATAAAAAATACTTTTGTTCTTGGCTTCCATGTGAAATAACTAACACTGTGTGCCTGTGCCAATAGCAGCTAACTTAGATCCCTTCTCCCCCAGGCATAGAAGAGAGATCAAGGTTCCCCGGGAAGCTGCCTCAGACCCACTGCACATTCCCCGACGTACTGGTGGGGAGGGCAGAAGTGGGCAGGAAGCACTGTCCTCAGGGATAAAGGCTGAAAAAGCTAGTTAATCCAGATGCCATGTTGTCAGCAGCATTTCCCACGGTTGCAGCAAGGCCACTGGGGCAGTCCCTGTAGCAGGACATCACCGTCTTGGTCTCCATGTGAGCTGGAAATCAGCCAGTGAACCCCGGGGTTAGGACTCTATCCACAGGCCCACACTGACATTCCAGGCACAAGTCTGAGCCCAACACTGGGCCATGATTATTAAGTACTAATGCTAATACCTACTAATCCTGAGTGTCCTTTTTGTGTCCCAGGCACACACAGTATCTCATAAACTCTTTAACTCAACTTCAAAGTAAGGCTCCCTTTTTTTCAATAAACTTTCTCTATGAAAGTATAATATATATGTAGAAGTACACCCAGATTATTAGTACACAGTTTGGTACTTTTTTAAAAGATTTATTTATTTATGCATTTATTTATTTATGCATTTATTTATTTATGCATACAGGAACTAGGGTACAGCCCAGATGTGCTGGGTGGCAGGGGTGGAGTGTGAGAGGATTCACCAGAGACAGAGTGAAAACAGAACAGGCAGAGGTACTGAAATACACTGCTGAGGGGAGCAGCAGGTAAGGCAGGAGAATTCTGCTGCGCCATGTGGGTCACCTCCCTGGCCAGATATCGAACTTGTGCTTCAGAGGCTGTGGATAGCTTCTTAGTGCTGTGCTTTAACCTACTGCACCATCAGAGAGGGTCCAATTTGGTACTTTTTAATAAAATGAATTATGCTGTGCAACTACCACTTACTGAAGAAATAAGCTACTCCTAGCACTCCAGAAGACACCCTTCAGCTCCCTTCTAGTTACTACAGTCTTTTGGCCCCCAAAATAACTATTCTGAAATTTAACACTACAGAGAGGGTTATAACATATAACAATATAGTATGTATTCTTATTGCTAACTCCTTTTGCTGAAAATCTTGTGCTAAAGATTCATTATTATTGCATCTGGCAACTGTTTGTTCACTGTCATTGATGTATAGTACTGCATTGTATTAATACACCACCAATTTTTCCTGCCCTTGATGGCCATTTGCATTATTCTTATACACCTCTTTTAACAGCACAGGTGCAGATTTCTGTTAGGTATATTCCTAGCATGGAATCACTGGGTTGTAGGATATGCCATAGGAGAAGCTACTGATAAGATTTACAAAATGGTTGTGAAGATTCTTAATCACAATTAGTAAACATGAAGGTTTACAATGAGGTTTAAGGACTTAAAAGAACTTTCCCAGTATCACAGTTTTTAAATGGAAGAGGAAGGATTCAAATCTTCCTCTCCTTTCATGTTACAGTGAGGTTTTTATTCAGAACAGAAGAGAGTGAAAATATAAAGGCAGCAAATTGCCCAATCCCAAAACTTTGTTGAAACATCTTTCAAAAGTTATCCTGGTATGTTACCTTTTAAAAATGAGTGAGGTGGAAATTATGATTCCTATTTGACAATTAAGCAAAGTAAAACTTCAAATGTCCATGTGTTGTTGGAGAAATGAGATATATTTTACCCACTCTGCAGAGTGATTTCAGCCAGTGCCCCTCTCACTGGAGCCAAAGGTCATTATGGTAAAGGTGAAAACCCCATTGATATTTAAGGTTCAAACCACAGGAGGTCATGAACACTCATATTTAGGGTTCAGGTCATGTGGGACTGAAACCCTCTCTTATTTGGGATCCAGACCATCTAGACATAGGAACCAGCAAGTAGGAAGCTGCTTACCAGTTAGTTGATTTCTCTTAGCTTAGCAAGATTTTACACTTGCTCATGGTAACCCATTAAGTCTACACAGAAACCCACAAATGGGGATCTTGAGACTTTTGTTTGAAGGTTAACTGCTTGGTAGAATAGCACCATAAAAGCCTTACTGATTGATATAGAACACCTTCTATCAAAAATCCTGCCTATAAGATGGGCATAAATTGCTCTTTCCCCGACTCATATACCTAACAGAAGTTTTTGCCTTTCATCTTTTTTTTTTTTTTTTCCCTGAGAACTTGCTCATTTTCATTCTGGAACTGTTGTCTGTAGCCAATTATCTCTAGGCAGTTTTTAGGATAGGATTTAAACAAGGGATTCAAGATTTCCTATCTGTTGGGATATTTCAGTTACATTTCCATGGCTGTTCTCTGGAGAGGGTGAAAAATCAATAACCTCTCCAGGAACAGACAGCAGAAAACCATCACAGGATGGAACTTAACTCTGAACTGACCGGGGTGATCTGAAAGCAATCTGGCGCATGAGCAAACTCAGGTTTGGGGGACTTGCCCAGTCCCTTCAGGGAGCTGGCACATCTGTGGGAAAGTGAACAGATGGTTCCCTCATCTGGCTAGGAATTTTCTCAGCCTTCTGTATTTGAGGATCAAAAGGAAGCTGCAGGCTGGATGCAAGGATCCCAGAAGAAAATAGAATACACTAATGTAAGAAGGTGAACCAGAAGCTCAATATTATCCAAAAAGGAAGCTTTAACTAGTGTTGTCTTCTTGGATTAAATACAAAGCATCAGGCATCTGTAGCTGTGATGGACCCATGGATGAGAAGTTGTAAGAGTTTTACTTTATGTAAGAGTCCTGCACAGTGCTACCACAGCATTCCGCGGGGTGGGGGAGTTTGGGAGGTGATGTGAGACCTGGCTGAGAGAGTGAAGTCATCACCCACTGAAAGACACACCCCTCCCCCCCGACACACACACACACACACACACACACACAGTCAGGCTGCAGCTGAGTCAGACATCCCTGAAAGCACCAGCAGTCTGCGGGGTGCATGTGGCTGTGAAGGTCAAGGGAGAAACTCAAGTGGGTGAGAAGGCCATGTACCTCTCCTTTCTTTAAATCGCTGCTATTTAGAAACAACAGTGAGAGGGAAAGACCAGCAGGGACTTTTTGTCAAGCTGATGCAGTGAAATAGAAGGTGTGACTTGGTACACTGCATTTGAGGCGCTATTCACAATGCTACCTTTGAGCATTTACAGTGTCTCCTAGAATTGCCATGGAATATCCAAGTCACCATCACAGCGTATACTCAGAAAATTCTAATATTCAAGGCTTCAGATTCAATGAAGCCAATTTTGTTCTAACTAGATCAGGTCTCTCAGTAAAAAACATGATGTGTCAGGCCCTCCCTGTTGGCACAGGGAGCTAAAGCCACTTCAGCATGAGTTCAATCCTTGGCCCCGGAGGTGACCACATGTAGCGGCAGACCTCTCCTGGCCCACCTTCTGCTCCCTTCAGCAGTGTACTTCATCAGTCAGCCTATTCTGCTCCCCACTCTGTCTCTGGTGAATCCTCTCACTGCCCCTGTACCTCTGGCCTGTACCCAGCTCTGTATGCATAAATAAATAAATCTTTTTAAAAAAAAATGATGTGTCACATATTATGTATTTCAAAAACCAAGACAGGCTGACCACTTACCATCAGAGAACTCTGCTGAAAGATATCTAAACTAATTTTACAAAATTTCAAAAATTTCCTCAACACCTCCTAAATTGAAGCAAGTGCTAGGGAAACTCAACTTTCTCTCCCTACCTCATGGAAAAGCCAGTCCTCTGGTGTGCCTTTCAGACCACCTCATGACATCAGTACATTGGCATCACCTGGGAGCTTTTAGGATTACAGAATCCCAGACTCTTGCATCATGCGTACCATATAGAATCTGCATTTCACTAAGCTCCCCGTGTATGCACCCTGATTAGAAAGGCTTTCACTGAATGACATATGGGCATGGCCAGAGAGCTCTTGAAGGAGCTGCCTCCTCATGCAGCTTCCCCAGGCGTGGAGCCTGGGTTTTCCGAAACACATTGCCTCTGGATTTGAAGTCACTTGTTCCTCATCACCTTTAGACACAGAGAATGGTGTCTTTTCCTGGGAGTGCCTGCATGATCTCACCTAAGACTTCAGGAAGCATGTCAAGAGGGAGGAAATTAACTCTCAGACCCAATTACTGCTATTCTACAACAGGAAATAATTTTGGAGAGCTGCTTCAAGACTGATAAAAAGCTTTGACTTAGGGACATCCCTGGTGGTGCAGAAGTTAAAGACACAGTGCTGTCAGGCTGTTGCCTGCCACTGCAACAGGAGTTTGATCCCCTGGCAGGGAACTGACCCACATGGCACAGGAGACCTCTCCTCTTGCACCGCTATTCCCTTCAGCAGTGGATTTCAATTGCCTGTTCTTCTCCCCACTGTCACTGGTGAATCCTCTCACACCCCATACACATCTGGCCTGAGCCCTGTTTATTGTACACATAAATAAATCTTTTTAAAAAATTAAAAAGCTTTGATTTAATAGTCAAGGCAGTGCCGGGTCCCGGTTGCTCACTTGGCCTGCAGCAATGGGCCCACATGGAGTCTTTCGAGGCTTCGAACTCCTCTGTATACTTTCTCTTCTTGGTTGGTGGCAATGAGACTCTAAAGCAAAACAAGGCCAAAAGTTAGGATTCCATTTTTCCCTCTACTTTAGAGTAAATTAGTTTTAATTCCCCAGGTCTCTTCCTTCAACCTTCATAAGTCTAAGTCTGGGTGGTTAAGGTTTCGTGAGCCTCACGAGTCTGCAATACCAGGCTGATGCCTGGACCGGAGAAAGTGAAGAGCTCTGTTTCATGAACCCTACTTGTCTGTCTTCCTTTCACTATCTTATGGGTCTGAGATACACCTTGAAAAATAAACTGACAATATTTCAAAGGCATTGTACTCATTGACATAGAGAAGATATAGACATAAAGACATACATTTTACACCCCTGAATTTTTTCTCACATGTAATTTCACCACAATTTTTATGACTCTTACTCTCCTTGCTTGCTATTTTCTAGATCCAGAGAAAGGATGAAAGAGAAACAGGATCATCCCCAGGAGAGGGGGTGTTCCAGGTTCCCTGCTCCACCCCAGGAAGGGTAGAGCTGAGCGGGGAGGGGAGGAAGCTGGAAAGGAGGCTGGAGAAGGAGGGAGGAAGGAGGGAGAGCCAGAAGGCAGCTGGGAGGAGGCACAAGGAGCAGAGATGTGTGGAGAAGCTGCACTTGCTTTTTGGTCCTGGACTGGTTGAAACAGATGTGGGTGAGACACCCGCAGGGAGGTTAACAGTGGCAGTTTTTTTCTCGATTTTGATTTTGCTCCTGCCCCAGACATCCTGGGCCCCTTTTGCCTCTTGCCTATGGGTCCCCACCAAGAGGTGTCTTAGACTTGCTGCAGGCTTTCAAGCCTCTGGGGCCCTACTTTGTCTGGCTGGGAATTTACCCACAAGAGGATGATAACATCAGGTGCTTCATTTGAGAGCTTTATTCTTCCCCTTTCTGTACTGCACACTGAATATATTCGAGCAGCTTTCCATTAAAGGTCTTACACACTTGAATATGTTTTGTCTTGTTGTAGAAGATGCCAGAACCTATGTAGAATGGACAAGTTTAGGGGTTCGGGAATGCCCCTCTCCCTGCCCTGTAACAAAGGGGAGAAAAATCGGAAGAGGAAGGAAGACAGATTAGTTAATGCTTGATGGACATATTTTTCTGAGAGCTCCTTGAGTGGTCTAGGTGCGGCTGCACATATAAGTAATGCTTCCTCCATCGCCTGACACCGCCCTGTATGTTTCTGATATTTTAACTTTCCATTAAATGAGGTGCTGGGTTTAGTGGATTTTAATTAAAAGATCGTCTTAAGCCCAGATAACTGGGGTCCTTGCCCCGTCCGATCCATGTCTCAACACTGCCATCTCCTGGCCAGGACTCCAAACTCATCTCCCAGCACAGCGCTGCTGGTCGCCCAAGGAGCCCTGGCTTTTCACCACTAAGCTTCTGGCCCTTTACCCGGGGCTGTAGCACAGCGGCTCTGAGTGGTAACAACAACTTCTCCCCTGATGAGCAGGCGTGGGCTGGTCCTGAGGCGGCGCGGGGTGCCGGACGTTTGGGTAGCAGTTGTGTAAGCTGCTGTGTACAAGGTCAGAGGCGCTCACTTCCGAGGAGGTCTGGGGCAGGTGAGCTCCCGGTACAGCTGTGGCATGGGGAACAGCAGCTGGAGTGGTCCGGGCGGCAGGTCTCCGGGACAGGCGGCAGGCACCTGGGCAACACACTGTGAGAAGGGCCTCTTGCTCGCCACCCAGAGTCCAAAAAGAAGAGGAGCAAGTAGATGCCAGCTGCGTGGGAGGTAACGCACACTCACCTTTGACCTGTGGAGCAGAGCAGGTATCTGATGTCGAATAGGGTGGGGTATCGGGGAGCTGGCGTTGCCTGCGGATTAGAGACAGGTATTGCTTTGTTGCTGTACCCAGCGTTAGTGGGAGGCAGCCCTCAGGGCAGAGAACCCACAGAATGGTTCCACATGCTTCAGGGGGCAGAAGTCCCACGGGCAGAGTCAGTGTCCTGCGATAGCCCAGTGGGCTTTGAGTCAAACAGACCTGGGTTTGAGTCCCAGCTCGCCTCCTTCCTAGCTGTGTATCCATGAACAAGTGCTTAGCCTCTCCAGGCCTCTGTTTTTTCACCTACAAAACGGGAATAGCCTTTATGCCTTCCTCAGAGCACCACCGTGAGAATTAAATGAGATAATGTGCATAAGGCCCGGGAGAGTGTTCAGTAAAGTTTAATTAACATTAGCATTGCGTCTTAACATTCTCAGTGCACTTACACCTGAGGGTGACACGTACTTTACTTACTACAGAGTGAGCTAAAGCAGTACAAAAATTCACCACTGCATTAACATGAACATCTGTGCTATGGAATCCTAAAGTTTTGGAAAGGAGTTTAGTGGATTACAAAAAAAAAAATTTTGTATTTCAAGATCTGGGGTGAGGGAGGGAGGAATGCACAACTTACCTGTCTTATACATTGAGGTACAAGGGAAATTTTATTTAAAAAAAAAAGTGACACCATGAAAATTGGATGAAAACCTCTGTTCCAAAAAACCAGCATATTCTCTATGGCTCTGAAACTGTGATCCTAAGAACCACAGCCTCCACCTGAGTCTCTTGCTTGGAGGACACCATGATTTCCTTGTTTGATTAAGATTTCAACACCATACAATAAAAAAAGAAGTCTGTCTTTCTCACTTACTAGGAAAGTTCTGTTTTCTCCACCAATTGTTCTGTTCTATTTTATTGACTTCCTACTAATAAGGGAAGAGAGAATATACATGTACCTTTCTCTAAAATCTCTACCCAAATGAAAGTAAAGCAATAAAGAGACGTAAACACCAACATGACGTAAACAAACAGAACATGAGCAGAGTCCAGAAAAGACCATATTTTAATAACATTGTGACAGAAATAGGGTGGATGGTAACTGAATTAGCAGAAAACAAAAAGCAAAAACAAGACTACTTGGGAGTGGTAAAGGGAAGGAGGAAGCAACAGGAAGTTATCCAATTTGAATACAATACTAGAAAAGCTCAGGACTTGGGAGTCCCTGGGAGTTTCTAATTCAAGGGTAAAAATAGAAATAAAAACAAAAGACTTGAGGGCTCTCCCAGGTGGCCTAGCTGGTGAAAGCACAGCACTAAGAAGCTAAAGCTACTTCAGCATTAGTTCAACCCCTGCCCCAGAGGTGACCACATGGTGTGGCAGACCTCTCCTGACCCGTCCACTGCTCCCCTCAGCAGTGTACTTCGTCAGTCAGCCTGTTCTGCTCCCCACTCTGTCTCTGGTGAATCCTCTCATCACCCCTGCACCTCTGGCCTGCACCCCAGTTCTGTATGCACAAATAAATCTTTCAAAAAAAAAAAAAGACTTGATTGAAAGTTTGACTAAAAATAATCAAACCTTAAAACTTGCAGAGTCAAGCAACTACCTCGATCATCCCAAAAGATAAAAGATTTACACCCTAGAGAAATGGAACCAGGGAGCCTACGCAGCTGCTGAACTAAAAAAGGGAAGGATTAACTAAAAGTCCAAGCTCTTGTGAACCCTTCTTCATCTCTGCTTTTCAGGACTTGATACAGAATTGCTGCAGTGAAAAACGGAAAGATAGTTCTCCAGAAAAAATGGATGTTGTCAGGGGGAAAAGTGATATTTTGAAGTCACTCAAAGCAACAGCAAGTCCCTGGCTAATCACTCTACAGTGAAAACCACCCTTTGAGAATAATGGCCTGCACACAGAACTTCTGAAATAGGAACAATGAAGGACTAGACATTTTCTGAAAGCCTTTCACATTAAAGATAGAGATCAAATAACCAGATAAATAAGAGGTACAGCTATGAACATCTGAGAATTCTTTGTTTAAATCTACCCAAAGACACTGGAAAGTAAGTAAAAAGATTCTGGAGGGATATTGAAAGTTGGAGGAAGATAATGGCATTGACATCTGTTGCTGACAAACACTGACGGCTTTTAGCCAGTTGAAGGTAGAACCACAAAAAAGATAAAACCCCAATAGAAATCCACTATTTTCTGGCCTAAAGAATCAGAGAACAGCATCTGGGACAAACAAAGTTGCCAAAAGTGAAAGAAAGACAGAAAAGTCACCCCCAAATTCTGTGAATAAATTGTAGTCAGGTGTCCAACTGCTTCCTAAGTCATCATTAGTGTGGTGGGTTCATGAAACAGCCCACTCTAAGTAAAAATGACTGAACTGAAATGAGCTACTACCCAAGAGATGGAGTTTACAATTTGAGTGTAAGCAAAGTACTTGCCTGAGGCCTTCCCTGGTGGCGCATGGGGTTTAAGCGCAGCAACGTGAAGCTTTCTGCTGCCACTGCAGCATAGCATAAGTACAATCCCCAGCCAGGCCAGAGAGGTGACCCACATGGTGCAGCAGACATCGTCTGACCAGTCACTGCTCCCCTCCGCAGTGGATTTCAGTAGATCTGCCTGTTCTGCTCCCCACTCTGTCTCTGGTGAGTCCTCTCACCCCTCACCACCCCACACCCCTCTGGCCTGTACCCCAGTTCTTGTAAACATAAATAAAATTAAAAAAAAAAAAAAAGTACTTGCCCAGTGAAACCAAAGCATACACTTTTCAGAAGAATGTAAAAGAATCCAAACATTCACAGTGTCACAATTAAGAATTATTAAACAAAGAAATGTTAGGGGGAGAGAAAATATCTTGAAGGAACACTACAGTATAGATTTTGTGGATTTCACCCCCTACTCCAGTCACGGAAACTACAACTCCTAGAAACACCAAGGGTAGAACCAAGCAGCCATTTTGAGACTTTTGGTGATATATATATGAGGGAGACATGGCGAGCTGAAGCTCTCTCTCTCCCTTGGCCCGGTGGCTGGTGCCTGGTAGCTTGGCTCTTGATGAGCTTTCAATGCACTATTGTGGTTCCAAGTCAGAAGACCTGGTAGGATGCTCTAGTTAACTTATTCTCTCTCTTTCCCTGGGTTGTTCCTTTTCTTTCCCCTTTGTAAATAAAACCATTATTGACCCTGTTTGTGTGTGCCTGCAGTGTAATTGAATGTTAAGTGCATGAGTGAGGACGCACAGAAAGACAGAAAAAGAGGGCCCTGCCTCACAGAAAAGAACAGTCACTGAGCGCCAACCTGGAGATGACCCAGGTGTTGATCACCCAAGGGGGTTAAACAGGTATTATAAACTAAGCTGGATACAATAAAGGAAGCTTTGCTTATAACACATTTTTTTAAAATAGAAAATCTCTATATAAACTATTGAAAGAACTAAATGTACATTTATAATTTAAACTATTGGAAAACAAAATAAAAATATTTTTAAATCACTGTATGGTGTTAGAGCAGAATTTGAAGACAGATTAATAAGTAGCATTCAATCCAAAGAACAGAAAGGAAAAAAAAAATAGGGATTTAAAAAGAGAAAGAAAGACTCATGGACCTGTAGAGAGGATCAAGCAGGAAAGAATTATTAAAACTGGGACAGTCACTAACTTCAGGAGAAGTATTGGTTTTAGAAGTGTCTCCAGGTTGCTAACACCCCTACAATCACCATATCAGGAATCCTGGCAATGTACATTAGACTGTTTTTGGCCTTTGTACTCTGAAATTGCCCATTATGCTACAGGGATTTCCATAAAGTGGACCTAGAAAGTGACAGACACACCAGGTCACCCCTGAAGAGGCCATCTCTGCCCCTAACTTCTACAGATGATATAAATATCAAGAGAGTCTAAGCTGCTATTTTAAAAAGTCCTGCACGATACATTCATTTCATTTGTTTGAGCCACTAAGTCACAAGCTATTTCTTGATCACAAAACTTATTTTTTTCCCTCACAGCATCTCCTGAGATTAATTTTACACACAGCACTTAGGGATCTCTGTTTTACAGGGTCAATACTTCAGTTTTTTAACTATCTGAAATCTGAAAATTAGCCTATGAAATTCAAACCGATTCTCACCAATTTTGTAGCTTTGTGGTCTTTTTGATAAAGAGTTGTCTTATATTTTATAAAAGTATAATTCATATATCAGTATCATAGGGGAAGGAATTCTGGATCTGTATTAAACTCAGGACTTATTAGCTGTGAGTCAGGCCAGAAAATCTGTATCTCAGGACTTCTGTAGGGAATGCAACTACTCTACAGAAGAAGCCTCATATTTAGAAATATTCAACATATGGAGTATTTAAGTAGGCTGTACAGATGTAACAATCATTGTACCAGCCCAACAATCCCAGGGTCATGGACCGGACCTGTTTCTACCTGTTTCTCCCCTCTGGTTTTTACTGCAGCCCCACTTACCTGCATGAACCTAAGCAATTTTTATCTAGCAATGACAGATTATCTGATCATAGGACTCTTCTTTAATGGATGTGAACTCTGACAATCCTTGTTAACTATGGTTCAAATCCATCTGACTCATACCTTTTGGCAGGTAACTTTAGCAACATTAATGTATATACCTGAGGTTCACAGTCCTCCAGTATGTCTTCTAAAGTATGCATTAATCTAAAAGCAATGCGTAGAAGAAAGGGCACAGACACATTTTAATCAGTGTTGGCACATCTTGACCTATGGCGACTACTTAACCTGGTTGCTCCTCAGCCTATATGCCTACCCATCTGTAAAATATGGAGAAGAATGTGGCTATTTAGCATAGCTGGTGAGAGAACAAAATGTACAGAATCAAATAGGTAACTAAGTAAGTGAATCTGTAGGGTGCAAAGAGCAATACCCAACATTTGGTAAATGCTCACCAATATTACCATCCACTGCGCACCCTTCCCAGCAGACTGGGTGAAATGAGAGCAGTGTGAGGGCAGACACAGAGGCAATTAGCATCTGGGTAAAGCCCATGCAGTGCTTTGAGCCAAACAGCTGGCTCAGTGTGAACTCAAATATTTGGGGCAGGAAAGGGGTGAGAGTTGGGGGTGAAGGTAGGGTGTGTGTTTGTGTGTGTAGCTTGCAAAACCTCCTTTATCACATGGTCAAAGTATGTTTTTGTTGGCAAAGGGCAGCAAGAGCCAAGAACCAAAAGTATCTGCAAATAGTCTCCCCATTGCTATTGAGATTCAGATCTAGTTTCACCGTCTTTCATGGGAGACAGTGGCATTTATAGTATGCCAGAGGGTGCTCTATAACATACAAGAAAGGACAGACAAGGGAGAGTGAACTTGATAAAGTGATAAAAACTATTCAATATAAGCTGAGTGAAAAAAATAGAATTATCTGAGTCATAGGGACCTTGTACAATATCAAAGATCTAACATTTGTACTATTGAAATTCTAGGAAAAAATACATTGGTAGAGAAAAATAAATTTTGGAAAACTTCTCAAATGAAGTTAAAAACATAGCTTTAACGATTTGAAGAGTTGAGCTATTCTGAAACAGAATAATCTCAAAAAAAAAAAAAGTCACGTCCATTCCAAGTCATAGCATAACAAAACTGCTGAAAACCAAAGATAAGTAAAATATTTTGTAGCTAGAGAAAAATGAGATATTATTCACAAGGGAACAATGAGCCATATACGATTTCTCATGAGAAACTATGAAGGTTAAAAACAGCACGTCAAATTTTTTACAGTGCTAGAGAAAAAAGAATTTATCAATAAGGATTCAAAAACCATAATCATTCTTGAAGACTTTGCCTTCCTTTCATGGTAATAAATAAAAGAAACACAAAAATCAACAAGGATATAGAATTCCTGAACAATAATGTCAACCAACTTGACCTAACTAACATTTATAGAACACTTTCCACAACAACAACTGAATGCACATATTTTTCCAAGTTTACATGGAACCCTCACTTAGATAAACCATATCCTGGTTCTAGTCTAAACATAAAGCAAACCTTAATAAAATTTTTAAAAATTAATATCCTGTAATATGTTCTCTGCCCATAATGGAACTAAAGTAGAAATCAGTAACAGAAAAATACATAGATAATTCTCAAATATTTGGAATTTGAATACAACTCCTGCAACAACCTATCAAACAGGATATTTCATGGAAGAGTGGAAAATATTTCAAGCTGAATATAAATAAAATTAAAATATAGCAAATCAAAAAACGACAAGGAGGAAAACACGTCATACAAGGAGGAAAATGTATAAGCATTAGATACTTAATTAGACCACAAAGAATGTTCTCAAATAAAAAATTCAAATCTACTCCACCTTAAGAAACTGAAGTGAATTAAACTCAAAGCAAGCAAAAGATGGAAATAATAAGAGTAAAAAATCAAAGAAGTTGAAAACAAACACAGTAGAGAAAATGAATAAAACCAAAAGCTGCTTATTTGAAACAATCAAAAAAGTTCAGAAATAAGGCAATATCTGCTCTCATTACTTCCCTAGTTGATTTTGTATCAAAAATCCTATCAAGTTCAATAAGGTAAGAAAAAGTATCAAATAACATACATTTTGGAAATGAAGTCATACAACTGTCCCAATTTGCAAATGACATGATCATCAACAACAACAAAAAATATTCCAAGAAATGTTTCTTTTAAAGTTTAAATGGCTTCATCAAGATTGCAGGATCTAACCCTACAGATGAAAGTCAATAATATATCCATGTATTAACAATGAATAGTTGAAGCCTAAAGCTTTGGAAATTACTTATAATAGTTATAAATATGAGTAATTAAAAATATATACTAGATTTGTATGCTGAAAACAAAACTGTAAAAGAAATTGAAGAATTCCTAAATAATAAATATACTATGGTCACCAACTTTTGAATGAAACCTCAGTTTTGTTATGATCTCAATTCTCTTCAAATGAATCTCTAAACTTAATGAAATACTAATTAATATCCCAGCATAACATATAGATTACGAGTTGATTCTCGGATATATGTGGGATGTCAGAGGAACTGACATAAGCAGAACATTTTGAAAAAGACCAAGCTATAGTATTTAAACTGTATGATTTTAAAACTTATGATGAAAGTACATAACCAAGAGAGTATGACAGTAGCAAAATGACAGGAATATACCTATGACACAGAATAAAGTATGGATTAAGAGCCACACGAATGGGACTCCCTGATGCTGCTGATAGTTCCATAACCAATCACAGAGCTGACCCACATGGCGCAGCAGACCTCTCCTGTCTCACCCACTGCTCCCCTCAGTAGTACATTTCAGTAGATCTGCCTGTTCAGTTCCCTGCTCTGTCTCTGGTGAATCCTTTAACACACCCACCCACCTCTGGCCTACACCCCAATTCCTGTATGCATAAATAAATAAATCTTTAATAATAATAAAAAAAAAGATCTGGCCTATCCCGGTGGCATAACAGCAATGCAAGCTTGCTGCAGCCGCTTCAGTACAAGTTCGACCCCTCCACATCCCACCACCCCCCCCCAGGTGATCCACAGCGCGGGCAGACCTCTCCTGTCTTGCCCGCTGCTCCCCTCAGCAGTGTACTTTCGGTCTGCCTGTTCTGCTCCCCACTCTGTCCCTGGTGAATCCTCTCATCGTTCCTGTACCTCTGGCCTGTACCCCAGTTCTGTATGCAGAAATAAATCTTTAAAAAGAAAGACCCACTCAAACATGATCAACTGACTTTTTACAACAGTGTAAAGGCAATTCAACAGAGACAAGTTATTCAACAAATGACTCTAATAATTGAACATCTCTACAAAAGATCTCAAACCTTAGAAAAAATTAATTCAAAATCGATTACAGATCTAAATGTCAAAACTGTAAAATTTTAGAAGGAAACATTTAGGAACTTAGGTTAGGGAATATCGATATTTCTTAAATATAAAGCACAAATCATATAAGAAAATTAGTCATCATCAAAATTTAAAACCTCTGTTCTAGAAAAGTTGCCTGTAAGAGAATGAAAATATGAGACACAGACTGGAAAAAATTTTTCACCAATCACATATACAACAAAGTTTTGTTTTTGGGGGTTTTTTTTTAAGATTTATTTATTTATTCATACAGAACTGGGGTACAGGCCAGAGATGTGGAGGGTGAGAGGATTCACCAGTAACAGAGCGGGGAGCAGAACAGGCAGATCGACGAAGCACACTGCTGAGGGGAGCAGCGGGCGGGTCAGGAGAGGTCTGCCACGCCATGTGGATCACCTCCAGGGTGGGGATCGAACTCATACTGAAGTGGCTTTAGCTTCTCAGTGCTGTGCTTTAACCCGCTACGCCACCAGGGAGGGCCACAACAAAGTTTTTATATCCAGAATATTTAAAGAATTTTGTAGACTCAATGTAACCAACTCCAATTTTTAAAAGTGGGCAAAATAACTGAATATTTCTGGAAAGGAAATGTATGACTGATGAACAAGAGCATGAAAAGATGCCCAACATCATCAGTTATTAGGAAAATGCAAAGTAAATCACTAAGAGATACCACTATAGAAGGCCTTTCTACTACGGGCTCATTAAAATAAAAGTATTTAAACTAACCATGAAGAGAATTGGATGTGTCACACAACTACCTTCTAACAACACTGAGGCAAAACAATATGACCACTCTAGAAAATTTAGCATTTTTTTTTAAATGAAGCTTCTATTTATATGACCCAGCGGTCTTTATCCTATGTATTACCCTAGAGCAATTAGAACTCTTGATCAAACAAAAACCCATGTATGACTATTATAGGAGCTATTCATACTTGCCAAAACATGGAAATAATCCAAATGTCCTTGAATGGGTGACTGGATTAACAAACTGTGTAACAACCACTCAACAGAGTCTTTCTCAGCAATAAAAAGGAATGAACTGTATGATCAAAGACATTATGCTTAGTGAAAGCAGATTCAAAATATTAAATACCATCTGGTTCTCTTTATGTAACATTCCAGAAAAAGCAAAACTACAGGGGTAGAGAACAGATCAGTGGCTACCAGGGCTCAGAGTAGGTGGCGGGTTTAGCCACAAAGGGGAGACAGAAGGGAAATGTTTCAGGTGAGGAAATTACTGTGGTGTTATTCACGGAATAACTAGGAATCTGTCAAAATTCACAAAACTAAATACCACAAAATTTGAATTTTACTGTATATAAACTATATAAAGTAAAAAATGAGTTTCTATTTCAGAAATTAAAGACATAGAAAACAATTAAGAATATAACTTTAAATAAAATCCAGTTCTTCAAAAGATCAAAAGAACCAGATAAACTTCTTGCCAGATTGAGCAAGAAAATTAACCAGAAATTACTAATATCAAGAACAAATAAGTTTTACCAACATTAGAAGTATGCCAAGAATTGCAAAGATTTATAAATTAGTTAAAATGGACACATTCATTGAAAGACATATACTAAGCTAGTACTACTAATAGAGAACTTGAATATCCCCAGGTTTATTAAAAATATGGGAAGGGAAGTCTCTTCCTAGAAAGCAAGCGCCAGGGCCAGTTTTCGGCACTGGTGAAATCTGACACAGGTTTATAGACAAATCATAACAACTCCATCCAATTTCTGGAAAACAAAAGGTTAAGTAACACTTCCGGGTGCATTATTTCCTAAGTTTAAAAATATTAAATGGAGGGCTCTCCCTGGTGGCGCAACAGTTTAAAGCACTATGAAGCTCTCCAATGCCACTGCAGCACAAGTTCAATACCCGGCCAGGGAGCTGACCCACATGGCGTGACAGACCTCTCCTGACCTGCCCGCTGCTCCCCTCAGCAGTGTACTTTGCCAATCTGCCTTTTCTGCTCCCCACTCTGTCTCTGGTGAATCATCTCACCCACCACACCTCTAGCTTATACCCCAGTTCTGTATACATAAATAAATAAATCTTTAAAAAAAAAAATCAAATGGAGAGCAATGTTGTCATTACTTACAAGGTCCCCAAGTCAAAGTCATTGCCCAGGAACTCCTCCAGCAGACTCGTATCCAGAACTGGGTTCTCCAGAGTGTCACTGGCTCCCTGAGCTGCAAAAACAAATTGAAAATCTTGAGACTCAGGAAGATCCCATTAAGGCTAATAATAATTAAAGATCATTAACTGCTTGCACCCGAGATCTTCAAAGCACTTGAAGGGCATGATGCATTTACTGAGAGTGTGAGCTTTTCTCCCATTCAAATCTTTTCTCCAGGAATCTCTGTAGATGTCACTCTCCTCCCAACAGCCTTCCCTGGCTCTACAAAATCAGCTTAGGTCTTCCTAAACTATGTACTTCTGTTAACACTGTGGATTTAGTCTCATTACATTGCTTTCTTTTGTTTTTGTCACCCTCTCTAAAGGGAGGGACTGTTACTGTATTCTTAGGAATCTATGGTAGAGAAAAAGCAGCAATAAATATTGGATGGATAAATGGACATATGGATGGTTGGGTGGGTAGGTGGGTGGATGGATGGTTGGACAAGTTATTTCCAGTTAAGGTCAACATGACGTTCAGTATCTTGCTTCACATTTTTGTTAGATTCCCCAAAATATAACACAATAATTCTGGCTAGATATTTAAGAGGAAAAAAAATTGGGATCATTTTCCTGCTTCCATACCAAAAGATCTCAGCAAGAAAGCAGAAATGAATATTCCTATGATCTTTGTAGAAAAGTCATTTTTAAGTTCGACTATCCCTTTGGTTTCCCTGTAAGTTCTTTTTATTCTGTTAAATTCAAATAAAATAAACATTTTGTAGTAAATTTAGTATTTAATTAAGTAGTAATGTATGGTAAGATCCATTTCTTACAAAATTTTTTCTGTCATCTACTTTTCAATCTTTCCATCAATCCAACTAGATGTAGCTATTCACAGAGAGGTGAAGTTATATTTCACTGCTACTGACACTGATGAAATGACAGGATTTAGAAAGACTTACCATTCCAAAAAATTCCTTATTATACATTTGGAAAAATGCTTTCCACAATTTTGCTAACAAATTTTGATTTCAAAATGATTTCTAAGGTAAAAAATAACAAATTCCCAAAATCGTCTCATAAATAAAGTCTAAATCCCCACAGCCCATGGGTCATGCTTTTAAAACCTAACATGATAATTTCTCCACAATTTTTACATTTCTGGAACACAGAGCATGGAAAGAAGAAAAGCATCCAAATTCTTTTTATGTAGCCAACATAAAACTCTTGCCAAAAGCTGAAAGGAATGAGACACATAAAAAAACCAGACTGATATTATGAATCCTAAATACAATTTCTAACACAAATAAACATTTTTATCCAGAGAATTCATCAAGGACCATAATGGTGACTTTCATAAGAGGACCATCACAGAAGTTATATACAAAAAAACTTTGAAATTCAAAAAACAGCTACTTAGAAAATGTAGTGCAGAAGAGTACCATTATAATAGAAATACTATTTCTAGAAATAAACTTACTGAAATAAAAAGGAAAAAATCTAAAATTTTGTCTCATAATTAAAAGAAAACTTTAAAAATGAAAGCATATTTTGTTTGGATAAAATGGGCAATAGTGTAAAGATGCAAATGTTCATAAATAAATCTATAAATTAAAAATGTCCACAATAAAATTTTCTTTTAAAAAATTATTCTAAAGTGTTTATTTAAAAAATAATAATGTGCCCTCCCTGGTAGCACAGCGAATTGCTATACCCTCATTACCTTGCCCTTTTTCTGACTCCGCATGAATTCCATCCCCCCCTGCCCCAGAGGTGACCACATGGCGCGGCAGACCTCTCCTGACCCCTCAGCAGAATACTTTGTCAGTCGGCCTGTTCTGCTCCGTACTCTGTCTCTGGTGAATCCTCTCACCACCCCTGCATCTCTGGCCTGTACCCCATTTCTGTATGCACAAATAAATCTTTAAAAAATAAATAAGAATAATAATGTAAAAATACCCAGGAAAAATAAAATAAAATGATTGCCTGGCTTCTGCCTTAGAAAGCCTTCTTGAGAGCAAAAATCACTCTTCTCTGACTGGTTGCTGTACCCTCATTATCTTGCCCTTTTTCTGACTCAGAGTTCACAGTCAAACAATATTTACTGAATGAACTAATGAATGAATGTCTTCGCCAGCAGCCCTGGACTGAGGATCCTGGACAAAAAAAGGTGACCAAGGTGGGATTTGCTCTCTATTCTGCACACCTTCCTTTACACTAGACAAATTCTCAGGTTCCTGGGGAACACAGTAAGTCCCCCAGCAACACAGGGACCTAAAATCTGAAACCAGCTTCCTTGAGCACAAGGGCACTGAGTTAGCCTTTGTCTTACCCCAACAGAGCCTTCACTGTGCTCTACCACCAGCTCCAGGAGCCATATCTGGAAACAGTGTCCAAGGATTAAAGGAAGGCAAGCCTGTGCCAAAAGCAGGGGGAGCCAGGCTCGCAGGAGTCAGTCTCTCAGCTGCCATGGAAAAGCAAACACAGAGGCTGTGGTGGTAGGTGTGTTGCAATAACAGCACCTCAAGGAGGGTAGGGAGGAATCCCACAGCACTAAAATGCAAATAAGGTAAATCCATGTGTATTCAATTTTAAAAATCGATTCAAAAAATTTTTAATTTACCAAGTTGCTGCATGTAAGAAAAAAAGGAGGCCCTCCCTGGTGGCGCAGGGGGTTAAAGCACAGCCCTGAGAAGCTAAAGCCGCTTCCGCATGAGTTCGATCCCCGCCTGCCCCGGAGGTGACCACATGGCGCGGCAGACCTCTCCTGACCCTCCGCCCGCTCCCCTCAGCAGTGTACTTCGTTGATCTGCCTGTTCTGCTCCCCACTCTGTCTCTGGTGAAGCCTCTCACCGCCCCTGAGCCTCTGACCTGTACCCCAGTTCTGTATGAACAAATAAATCTTTAAAAAAAAGAAGGAAAGGAAATGTACTGAGCTCATTGTGCCGACACTGCACAGCAGGGTGTAATCTAAGGCCAGTCCCAGCCCCATCCTGTGTGGTGCACTTTGTTGTGAAAAAGTACTTTGAGGGAAAACATGGAATCAACCCAAATGCCCAAAAATGATGATTGAATTAAAAAGATGTGGTACATTACAACTGAGATGGAAAAAGGCACAAAATGAAGTAAAAAAAAAAATCATAATATTAAAAAAAAAAGTGGTAAAGCTACACAATGGAATATTACTCAGAAATCAAAAAAGATAAACTCATGCGTTTTGCAGCAACATGGATGAAACTGGAAGGGATCATGCTTAGTGAAATAAGCCAGAAAGAAAAATACCAGATGGGTTCAGTCATAGCAGGAGTGTAAGGGATCAGAAAAGTGGGGCGGGGAAGGGGTGAAGCACTTGTAATAAAGAAAAAAACGAAAAACAACGAACAGAACTATAAACCAGAAACATTTTACGAGAGGGGAGAGGAGAATGGGATCAAAACTAGGGCGGGAAGAGCACACTGGACTATGGTGATGGCACTGGGTGAAGTGGTGGTGGGAAGTCCTCCGGGATTACAACTGAGATGATAAAATGCACAAAATGAAGAATGATGTAAAAAATAAAAATAAATTGATTTTAAAATAGAGTTAGGGCCCTCCCTGGTGGCGCAGAGAGTTAAAGCACAGCACTAAGAAGCTAAAGCCACTTTCACCAGAGTTGCATCCCCGCCTGGCCCGGAGGAGATCCACCTGGCGCGGCAGACCCCTCCTGACTCGCCCGCTGCTCCCCTCTGCAGTGTGCTTCATCCATCTGCCTGTTCTGCTCCCCACTTTGTCTCTGGTGAATCTCATCACCCCTACACCTCTGGCCTGTATCCCAGTTCTGTATGCACAAATAAATAAATCTTTACAAAAAAAAATATATAATGTTAAAAATTTTTTAAAAAAGAAAATGTGCTTTGCTTTTCTAGAGAAACAACTAGGTGGGGGTAGGAAGAGCTTTTGCCAACAGTAGGAACCCAAAAGTTGTTATTTTCATCTTACTAAAATCTGAAACAGGTGATGGGTATTTAAGGAGACTTATTGAACTCTTCCAGCTGCCAGAGGAATAGCGGTACTTCAACTCCATCCCCCCACACCCAGCCCGGCCTGTAACCCAGGGCACTGTATCTTCACAGAGCAAAACACCTTTGCACTCAGATCACTGCACTAGTTGAAGGAAAACCATGATATGTTAGCTTTTGACTTGCATTCTTACTCAAGGCTATTAAAGTAAAACTTTTTAAATCTTGAAGACCTCCCAAATGGAAAAATTAATGGGCACCAGAGATGGATGGAAGGGGTGAAGGAAAAAAGAGAAGGAGAAAGGGAGATGGCCATTCCATTCCAGGGCGTGGACTTAGAAATATCTGCAAAATATGCTTAAAAGTTAATATGCTCCAAAATGACCTCATAGCAGTGTTGAGCCTTGAGCAAGACATCCAAGGATAAGCGGAGATAAGCAGAGCAAGACATTCATTCTGTCATTAATTCAACCCATATTCATTCACACCTACTTCCTGTTGAGTGTGGTACACTTTTCTGCGAACATGGAAATGACAGAACAGACAAAATCTCCTCAGGGAATCTGAACTGCAGGGGTGGAGAGGTCAGAGTGGTGAGGCCTAGGCAAGATAACACCTGACACATGAGAACAGTTAACAAGCAGGATACTTTCAGACAGCAATGAAAATAAAGCAGTATGACAGACTGAGCAAACAGCTCCTTTGACTGGAGGCCTTTCTCAGGAAGGAGTCAGCCTGCAAGGGTGGAGCTTGCCTGAGGGAATTGGGGTGGGGAGGGGCCCCGTGTGTGGCTGCCAGGTGATGCTTCCCTGTTTGAGTAACACATCATTTCAGTGCGGCTGGAGCACCGGAGTCTGGGCAAGGGGAAGGAGAGCAGCAGGAAGCTTTTGGAAAATGACATCATATGCTTTGTATTTTTTAAAGGTCACTGGTTGCCTTGCAGAAAATGTCTATAAGGAAACAAGAATTGGAAAAGGCAGAGCAACTTGAACACTATCACCGTTGGCCAGGGGCATTCAGAAGTTTGAAGTTCTCACATCGACCAAACTAAACCATAATCATGCTTTACCCGC